GCCGATGGACCAGCTCGCGTGCCAGATACTGTGAGTGGTATGGCCTGGGGGCATGATTAGCTCATGAAGAATACAGCTTGGCCGCACTAGGTCGCGAACGGGAGAAGCTGCTGCAAAAGGACGGTGTTGCCATCCGCCGACTGCCACAACCTTGACTCGAGGGGGAGAGCTTGTGGGTAACGGGCACTGCCACCCAACGCGAAATTGAAATTCGCAGGATGTCAAGCACAGCGTGAGCGCCGAGCACTTTCGCTAGTGGCTGCTTGTCCGGCAAAAATGCGCGGACAACTGTCCCGATGGCCAGCATCAGTGGCTCCATGGCGCAGCAAGGGCGGCGCCCAATTAAGGCAGCAGCATCTAGCGGACTCTAGCACGATCCATGGTGAACTATACCTGTCACTGTGTAGTGTTTGTTTCAGGCGCGCGCTTCGTGAATACGCTGTTGTGACATGCAGTGATGTGCCCTGCAGGCACATGTTGCATTGGACTCTACAAACCCATGCAGACTTGTAGACCGCGGTCCCTTGGGGAGCCGCTTATAGGGTTGAGACTTAAGGGTTCCGGGTAGCTTCGGGGTCTTGTTTGGTGAGATGTTAGCGGATTCTGCGGGCCATGGACGTCCGATTTGCAACTAATCTGAGACATGTGTTTGCTTGCTGCATGTGAATAACTTCGGTGTGTTAAGCTGAAGTCTACGGTCCCTCAGGGAGCCGCTGCAGACCAATGATCAACCATCAATGCCGTGGCGTGGGGCGGCTGACGGTCTAGAGTCGAAGGCTTTTCAGAACGATGCGTGCCAGAAAAACTGTCCATGCCAAGCAGCACGCACAATGCAGCATGAACTGTTGGGAAAGCTTCTGACAGCTAGCAGCTGGCAGTAACAGTCGCAAGAATGCTTGGAGGACGAGCGCCGGAATATTAAATCGTAGCAACAAGGACATTCAGATTCAGGACAGCAGGAACAGCAACAGGAACAGCAGCAGCAACAGGCAACGACAATAACACCAAATACCAGCAGGAGCAGCGGCAGCAGCAGCAACAACAACAATTATTTTACTTTGCACACCTCCACCCTATAGATAATGCATTTGCGAGGCCTGTACCAACTACTGTATGGCAAACGAACGAATACAAGTAGTGGTAGTGGTACTAACACCACGTTTAAGTCGCCCCAGCCGGTGCAAAGTCGCCCCAAGCCCTGCGGCACAGGGCATGGGAGTGAAGTCAATCCAGGCGGGGTGCTGTCAGCCCAACAGTGTTCGCGGCTTAGCCTCAAGATATCGCGTGCCCTGCACACGGTGCGTTGAGAAGCCTCTTTAAAATAATAGTTGCCAACATACACATGGGTATATGTGAAAACCCAATGTGGATGTCATCAAGATTGGGCCATGGATGATTTTTTGTCGGAACATGGACGTCATTATGCTTGGGGGTGAGGGTCCCCGGTTGGGGGGAGGGAAACTACCTAACTGGGCACTCCAGGGAGTCTCGCGGTAGACTCTGATTTGGGCACTCGTCTCTGGGGCTGGGCACTCCAGGGAGTCTCACGGTATAGTCTCTGGAGTTGGGCACTCCACACCGTCTGACGGTAGCTCTGGGGGTGGGCACTCCAGGCAGTCTCTGGAGGTAGTCTCAGCGGGCGAGGAGCGGACGAGGAGCGAGCGGGAGTAATAGCTGACGTTAACATCTAACAACCCCACACCGAAGGTAGGGAACAACAACAAAACAACAACAACAACCACAACCACAACCACAACCACAACCACAAGAACAAGAACAAGAACAAGAACAAGAACAAGAACAAGAACAAGAACAAGAACAAGAACAACAACAACAACAATAGCAACAACAATAATAATAATAGTAATAATAATAATAATAACATGAACAGGGTGCCATGACAAGGCTTGGAACTGGCAGTAGCCTGTCTACAACTCCAAACATTCGCAGATTGTGGTGGCGACCAGGATATACACAGGACGCAGAGGCAGGAAGACATCGGTGTGCAAAGAGATGAACAACGACATTAGATGAACCGATACTGATGAAGTGGCCACCATTTCTTCAATCCTGCAGCGAAATGGATCCATCGTCGGGAGAAGCGCATAGGCTGCAAGTGCTTCGGCTGGGGTTTGGGACACAACGAGACGGTTTGGAGCCCTGAACACAAGCCCGTATGGGAGCTTTTCGTAGGACCAGACTGGGCTCAAACCTTTCGAGGTTTCTTGCCTCGGCTTTCCTGGCTGCTACCCCTGAAAACACACATCATGCATGTTGTATCACTTTCGTATCCAAAATGGCACGGCAAAGTGCGAAGTTCAATAATCCTCAAACGAAAAATCTTAAACAAGAAAAGCTGACATGATGCAGAAAACTGCTGTACAGGCCCTCAATAATACGAAACAAACACAAGTCCAAGGAGTTAGCTGAGGGATGTCGAATCCAGAGAATGCCGTCGACACTCGCGAAAAAAAGGAAACATAACACACAAGCATGAAGCCACGAACT